CCCCCCCCACCTGGCTAATTTTATTTTGTTTGTAGAGACAGGGTCTCACTATGTTGTCCAGGCTGGCTAGACCTCCCAAGGCGCTGTGCCCGCCAGTATTTGTTTTTAGCATTGACTTTGTTATTAATTATACTGTAACTTGTGGCATCTTTGTAGTTGTCTTTTGCTATTTAATCCTTAATTTAAATCACATACTTATGCCTTGTTGAACTAAATTGTTCTTTAAGAATGGTTTCCTCCCATCGTCAGAGAGAAGAAAAAAAAACGGGGGCTGTGTTTAAAAAGGGCCTTGGAAACCAGCCAACTACTTTGTAGGTGCTAATTTCTTCAAATTTGCCATCTTGAGTATCTCGTACTCAAAAAATGCTTAAACATGATTAAAATAACACAAAAGGAAAAATATATTATCAAATTTCACCTCTCCTAAATGTGGTGGTATTGGGAAATTCACCTAAGCCAGATCCTTGGCTCAGAGCTTTTTACATCTTCTTTCCTAGATAGTACAATGGTGGGCGAGGAGAAGATGTCTCTAAGAAACCGGCTGTCAAAGTCAAGTAAAAATCCGGAGGAAGATGAAGACCGGAGAAACCCTACAGTGGAGTCCTTACAGATACCTAGTAATGGTGAGGCTTTTAATTTGAGATGAATTAATGAAATAGAGAACAGATTTAGTGTACTAGATCAGAGATTGCCATCTCTTTAGTTCTCTCTATTGTAAATGGGTATTAAAATTTTATATAGCTGGTAACAAAAATTAGAAAACAAGTCCTTATTAATTCAGTGAACATCTGTTAGGTATCTGCTATGTTGTAGACACCATTCATTGAACCACTTAACCTACCAGTAGTTATTGAGCTGCCCTGCTGGATGCTGGGGCTGTAGCTACAGATCAGTACAGATGTGTTTGCCATTATCACATTCCGCGCTGAGTGAATGGCAAAACCTCCAAAATTATACATATAATTAGATTATTACAAATAAGTATAATATCACATAATTAATTACTCTCATAATAAGTGTAATGGGTAAAATGCAAGTAATTAGCCGAGTACCTAACCTGAGTACTGAGCTATAAATCTAGTGAGGGGGGGAAAATTAGGGAGTTTTATTAGTTTTTATATCCAAGTTTCCTTAATGCCTGAATAAAAAGAGTACAATGCAGTGCTTGTTAAGGAAAAGGTTTATGGTTATGAATGGTAGACTTGCAAACACAACACTAATTGATGTCATCTATTGTATCAGGGTATTTTTGCAGTGACATTTGCGTAGGTTTGACTTCAAGGATTTGAAATTTGAGACTTGTTTGGTTAACAAGGGTGGAACTTTCTGAGACAGATTGTCTTAAGCATCTTGACTTTTTTCATAAAGAAGCATTGTTTTGTTTTTCCTACTTAAACTTAGTGTAAATGTCAATAGCTGAATCCCACTAGGACTGTAAATATTGCTGCTCAAGTTGGCGTAATGAAGTTTATGAACATGTTCTTAATTAGCTGTATATGACATACTTATATTACATATGGGCTAGTGTTAGTGTTATATAAAATGTGAAATTTATGCAAAGGAGGATGAGCCAACACTGGGGAGAAACATTCCCCTTCTATGAGTTAGGGACTTCATAACCCAGGTTGTCTCCATTGTTTTCCCACATATTAGAAACTTCGTGTTCATTTGTTTTTCCCTTCCAGTTCTTGGAGACAGAAAAATTGTTTTAACTGAAATTTTCTGTCACCAGATATTGCTCTCTTTACATCTCAATTTTTAAAAGATTTTAAATTACTCTAATTTCTATGTATTTCCAGTACTCCTTATTGTCTTAGTTCACTAAGTTTTAATCACTCCAGGTTTTAGTGCAGATGTTTTCTTTTTTTTTTGAGACAGAGTCTCACTCTGTTGCCCGGGCTAGGTTGCACGAGCCACCTCGCCCAGCCAGCGCAGATGTTAAAAATTGAATTGTTTATGGCTGTGCGTGGTGGCTTGCACCTGTAATCCTAGCATTTTGGGAGGCCAAGGCAAGAGGATTGCTTGAGCCCAGAAGCTTGAGACCAGCCTGGGCAACATGGCAAGACGCTATTTCTCCAAAAAATTAAAAAACAGCCAGGCATGGTGGCCTGTGCCTATAGTACCAGCTGTTTGGGAGGCTGAGGCAGGAGGATCGCTTGAACCCCCAGGAATTTGAGGTTACATTGAGCTATGATGATGCCACTGCACTTCTAGCCCAGGCAACAGAGTGAGAACCTGTCTCAAAAAAATTTTTTTTTGAATTGTTTGGCTTAAATGAAGTATAACAACCTCCTTGGTTAAAATAAGTGATGCTCATCTGAAAATGTGTTTTACTTATTTTAACATTGGTTCACTTTGGGGAGCAAGTGGATGGGTAAAATGAGGCCTTTGAGTAACAAAGTCTTGAAGAATGCCAGGCCCGTAAGGTGTTGCCCGCCAACCAGGACCACTTGGGGGGCTTGTTAGAAATGCCCCACCTCACATTTTCAGAATAAAAATTGTATTTTAGGCTGGGCGTGGTGGCTCATGCCTATAATCCTAGCACTCTGGGAGGCCGAGGCGGGAGGATCGTTTGAGCTCAGGAGTTCGAGACCAGCCTGAGCAAGAGCGAGACCCCGTCTCTACTAAAAATAGAAAGAAATTGGCTGGACAACTAAAAATA